TCATTGCCGTAAGTTCCATGTATCATGTTGTCAGAAACAATTTGATACTAATCTGATTCAAGTTCCTTTTCTGGCAATTCAGCACATATAATGTGATCTATGTCTTCAGGATTTGTAAGTTTAGACTTTTTTTTTTCTAAAAATAGGCATACGTGACAATGTGGAAGACCCATTTTTGAAACTGGATCGTATATATAACTGTATGATGCAAATATGTTACTTGGTTAACGCATGATATTATAAAATCAAAATAAAATAATATGAATAATGAAATTTTAGATCTATACCTCCATCGACTTCACCAAAAAAAAAAAAATCTTCCTTGAGTCTAGTGATTAGTGAATCAAGTTTTATTTTGAATATTCTTGTCAAAATATCGGGTTTGTCTTCGGGTTTAAGATTTTCAAATTCAATGAATCTAATTACCTTTGGCCATTTAGGATTACATGTAACGATTAAAAAAAGATCAGCATAACCAAACCACTTAACCAAATTCATTGTGTAAGTAATTTTGTTACATGTAACGACTGCCACCCATAAAAGAAGACGAAATAATAATACAGGTTCCCATCGCAGGAGCAGCCTCAGCCAAGTCTCCATAAGGAGCGACACGTAATGTTGGTTGGTTAAACTGAAAATAATTAAGTCGATCATTTTCAACCATTGTATACGAATCAACCAAAAACTGTTGGAAGAGTTTTCTAGAACGTAATATAAATGATATTTCATTAGTTCTCGTTTGTATACGATAAACAAAAAACTCTCGGATTGTCAGTGTTATTCGTCCTTTGGAGTTTGGTTCTTCAACACCATGATGTAGTATATCCAATCAAAATTCACCTTCGGCATAAGGGAACAATAAAGGATATTTAAGTGAAAGATATTGTAGATGCAACTCATTAATACGTTGAAGTTGATGACTTTGTGTTTCCAAAACAATATCTCGTGAATTGGAACCGTCAATATCACCTACAATAAGTGCAGCAACCTCACTTATGGTAGGAAGAATATACTGTCTACCGTCCTTTTCTCTTGTCCCAATCAATTTAATCATAATACGCTCTGTTGGATTCAATCCAAAACGATCACGTGTCATTCTAAATTGCTTATTTAATGGATTTATAAAATCCAATAAACTCATTAGCTCATGAACAGTCAAGAACGCTAGTGAAAAATGATTTCACGTTGAATTATGAGATGTTGACTTTTTCTTTTTTGAACTACATTAATAGGAAAACAAAATCATGGATATAAATATTATGAGAAATAATAAATATTTTTACCATATATATATATATATATATATATATATATATATATATATATATATGTGTGTGTGTGTGTGTGTATGCGTGCTTGTGTGTTTTTGTGTGTATTTAATGTTATTATATGATAGAATGTATTTACATACTTGTATGCATTGAATCTGTTGTCAACCTCGTGATATGTATCTTATATATACAACTATCAAAATTTCAGTAATTCGACTTCCTCTAGTAGTAAGCGGCCTACAATATGATAATTATGTCCATCCATTCGATAAACATAAGGACCGCCTCCAGATTTAATGACATGATCAGTCTTACCAGCCATAGATGTGAATGCAAACATCATATTGTATCAACGAATATTTTTTATAAAGTTACGACTTTTTTCAGTAACTCCGCTATATATATCAAGCAATAACTGAGGTGGGCGAATCAAGTTTGGTAATTCTACTTTTCCATTGTAACAACATATGGAATAAGAGGTTTTCCTTAAATCTTTATTTCCTCTTATTGCTTCTCCATTCTAAACCCTAGTTTTACATACAGAGCAAAAGCATACTGCATCATCAGAATCCAAATAATATATAAAGAAAAAAATTCATCACATAATATGTACTATAAGCGTAATATGAAAAGGGTGATAACATATTGAAAGGATAATTTTCATTGGATAACCAAAATTTAAAATTTTAATTAGAAAGAAATAGTATCTTTGCTTATGACAGTACATATAGTCTGGGTGTCAATCCTTACATCATTTTGACCAAATGAATTATAAGGCACAAATGTTTGTTTTTTTTTCTTGGTGCTGCAAAATAAACATAATTTAAATTATTAATAGCACAATCGATATTTATAAAATACATTGCAAAAATGTATAAGTGGATGTATTAACAAAATAGATGATAACATACCTTGGTAATCAACCTTATCAGTATAACCGAAGGAAGTTGAGAACAAATAGTAGTATTGTTTGAGTTTTCCACAAAATCTTCATTCAAATCAACAAAAGGAATATCATTTGTATTGAACTGTTTTCGTTTCCCTCTTGTCGTTTTTTTTGTGTTATTTTCTTGAAATGTAGCACATTTTTTTTGAAAAAATAATGATTAGATAAGATCAATGATTATGTTGGTAATAATTACGAAGTCATTTTTAAACGAGAAAAAATGTATAAAGTGAAATATAATGAATGTAATTATAGGATAAAAAAATACTATGTATTAATTAACAATGACATAATTTGAAATATATGACCATGGTTCAGATAGGTCTTGTCTGTATTGAAAGTTGTTGCATTTTTAATTGTTTAGTAATTTGAAATTGGCAACGTACTTGAACTGTTTACAACTGTTTATTGGTAGTTTTTATGTTAGTAAATATTGAATGTATTAAAGTTTTTACATTATCTAAATTGTTTAGATAAACATAATAAAAAAAATAATTATGAAAAACTTACCCTGACCGGTGATATGTGACACTGGCGACCTTGAGGAAATAAATAAATGTTGCACATTTTGTCGTATATGTTTATAAGAGGATGATGTTGAAGGTGATGAAGTAACTTTTCGGGTAACTTGAGAAACAGACATTATGAAGATACGATTTTCTAGAAAAAAAATTATTGTAAATGACAATGAAAATATGAATATGTATATATAATATTAAAGTACATATATTGAAATTAAATTTATAATCAATTAAATACAAAAAATATAATAAGTAGTAATATAATAATATGATAACTATTAGAGTTGGATGCATCCTTACATCCTTGAAAGTTGTTGCATTTTTATTTGTTTGGACATTTGAAGTCGACGACATATACAAACCGTTTATAATAGTTTATTAGTATCATAACAGTTATTAAATTTGGAAAAATTAATAGTCTTTATATGATTTTGACTGGTAGTGAGACAATAATATAAAAGAATTATTAATAATTTACCATGATTGGTTATTTGTGAAAGTGGCGACCTTGAATGTATGTTGCACATTTGGTCATAAGACGTTATGGGATGATGAATTTGAATATAATTTTGGGCATTTTCGAATAACTGGACAATTAGTGGGGATGTATAAGTTATTTTCTTCAAAAAGAAATATGATAAATGTGGATGAAATGAAAATATATTATACATTAAATATGAAATTTAACAAGAATATATATTACATAAAAAGAAAACCAATAAATTATATGTATTGAACATCTAATGATAATATTAAATTAAAAGTTAACCGTTTGTGATGTTCGACAGTGGTGGCCATGCCGATGTTTTTGATTTGATTCTTCCATTGTTGGTATTAATATATTTGGTATAATGTAAAATGTAAGATGTAATACATAAAGTTGGAGAGAAGAGTAAATGCATAAATGAATATCATAACATACCACAAAAATGATTATACAAAGAATGAAATTAAAGGATATTTGTGAAGATAATAACGAATTAAAGTTGATTAACAAATATAGAGATATAATTGGAAAACATGTGTCGTGATTTTATATTAAATAAAAATATGTATCAAAAATAGATGAATTAAACCCTTTTTAATAAGATTAAATTAAATGATGGTTTCTAAATTGATAAGGGTGCATGATTTTGAAAAGATTTAAAGATAATATTTCCTTATTAAATGATTTAATCATAAATGTATGGATTCTATATATTGAAACATGACAGATATACATATAACTATTTTGGAAACTGTTTATGATTGACAGTATAATTGGAATGATAATCTGCATAAATAAGAATATAAGATTCAAGAAAGAAATTAAAATTTGTAGAGTATGTGCTCATGTTGACAATTATACCATGTTCATAAGAAAATTATATTTAAATTTAAAACAAATTGATAATAATAGACTTGGTCAACATAGTTTGTTATTTAAATTAAAAACAAATTAACAATAATAGACTCGGTCAACATAGTTTGTTACAAACAATAAAAAAATTATTGTTATAAAATATTGTTTGTGGAAAAACAAACTCAACGGCTTAAGCCAAAGATTAAGGAGATTACCTTTAAACTTAAAACAAATTGACAATTATAGATTTGGTCAACGTAGTTTGTTATTTAAACTTAAAACAAATTGACAATAATAGAGATACATTAGGCAATATCAATCGAAATTTTTATTAACAAAATCAACAGAAGATATAGTAGGCAATATCAGTGACATCTGAATTAGCAAAATCAATAGAAGATAAAGTAGGCAAGATCAATAACATTTTTATTAGCAGAATTGAGACAAAAAAAATTAAAAATAATGTGTACCTTGAGAAGAAGAAAAGCGCATTGAGAATAATCATTGATAGTCAATCTCAATTTCAAGTTGTTGGTGACAAACACGCAGAAGATGCATTGATGGAGAAGATAAGTGATTCATTATATATAATAAGATTGCTTAATTTTTTTGGAAACGGTAAATGATTAATCGGAAGTCTACTCGCATATTTCAACAAGTACCCCGGGTATTTCATTAGTATTCACACTACTAGAAAAAAGCCCTTTAATGACGTGCAAACAATGACACTCGTTGATAGTGGTCGCGCATTTGTGCGTGCCCTAAAAAATAATGTCAATTTTGCAAAATTTGAAGGATAGTGGACACGCATTTTTTCGTGCCATAAAATTAGTGTTAGAAAAGAAAAAAAAAAAAGGAAATGCGGAGGGCGCCTTTCATAAAATGTGTATCGTCTAAGTGTGTCGCTTTATAATTTTTTAATGAAACACGCGTTTTTTAAGGCGGGATTTCACCCCGCCTATTGGATCCCAAAAATCAAACCCCCTCGTCTCTTCCGATTAGCAAGAAAAAGCCCTAGGGCCTTCATCTTCATAGCAGCATCGCACCACCACCAAACCTCCAATCTCGCACCGCCAAGTGTCTCCGACCATCTTCTCCAACCATTCTTTCCTATTGCACTACACCGATAACAACCCCCCCCCCCCATCATGATATGCTAATGTTTGTATTTATGTCAATCGAGATCAAATCATTCATGTCACAGGTGCTCATGCTTCACGTTCGTATGATAAAACCCTAACCGTAAAAACCATCATTCTCCAGGTCGAGAGCAACAATTCCGTCAAGAATGTCAAATACATGATACAGGTTCCTATTTCTCCTCTATTCTTACCTCTAATTTTGATTTTTAAACTTCTCATCTTCTCCTCTATAAAACCCTAACCGTAAAAATTATAGGGTTTCAATTGGGATTTCCTCCTCCATACTCGATCCCTACTTCTACTCTCTACGCATATCAGATAGGATCCGTTCTTTCTCCCCTTTTCTCCTTCTTTTTCTTTGTTTTCTCAGGTACGACATCATTCTCCCCTACTTTCTACTTGTGCATCCCATTCTGATACTTTTCTACTTGATACAATCATCGATGATTCAAAAACCAACAAACGCTTCAGCATCTATCGTATTCGGGTAATTCATCCCAATCCATTAACCCCTTTCATTTTTCATTAAAAAACCCTATTGATTTGGCAAGTTCATGAACCAGATGTAGCACATCCCAAACTCGGGTTTTAACCAAAGCCGATAGAGCCATTGACGAAATCTTTGGATTCGGTCAACAAGGACAATCTGTAATCGCGCAGCTTTCTTCACAAGGGATCGCTCCAGATGCTTTCCCTTATTGTCTCGTCGGAAACGGTGGTGGTGGTGGGATTTTGGTTCTGGGTCAGATAATCGAGCCAACCATGGTGTATACTCCATTAATCCAGTCACAGTAAGTTCTCTTTCGCTTATCTCTTATCATAAAACATTAACAATGGCGTACAATCTTCTTACCCCTTTTCTCCCTTTTCTGCAATTGCTCAATCTCCCTTTTCTGTTGTATAGGCTATGATATAACTACCAATGATTGGGATGACTACTCAAGATATGTGAATCCTGATGGAGTTGATTTATCGCAGGTAAGAACCTGTTTCCTTCTATGAGTTTTGTTTATTTTTTGACTTGAAAACATGTTTATCATTGTATATTGTTTTTGGTTTCATTATAGGGTGTTTATGGTCATTGTTATGCACCATATGGACCTTATTCTCCTGCTGGCTCACCTATGCCAACAGGAGGTCAATATGGTGAACTCTATGGGGCCCAACATTACTAGTACCCTACTTCTTACTTCCCACCTATGACCCCTACAACCCCTTACTCTCCTGCGCCTCCAAAGGGTGAGATCACAGCAACTAAAGAGGAACCTGCTTTATCTTTGGACACAACTAAAGGAAACCCAAATGGTGTGAAGGGGAACACTGGTTCTACCCCGGTGAGGCCAACTTCATATCAGAATTTATCTTTCAATCCAAATGGAACCTCTGGAAGAGGTGCATAAACTGGCTATCAAGATCCAAGATACACTTGACAGTTGATAGTTTCTCAATTTGCTTCAAACACTCTTTTCTTTTCTATTCTTTTAATCATTTGATGTTAATATTCGAGGCAAAATGTACAAAATGGCAACATATTTTCATTTTTAACTGATGTATTGTGTCATAAACTTGCAGTCTATTACTAGAGCATATGGAAGGGTGGATGCAAATGGTTCCAGGTATCTACTTGGTAACCATCTTATTAGTTTTGTAAAAAAAAATAATAAATAAACTAATTAAAGTAGAAGTTATAAATACAAATGTAACAGAAGCAACTATGTAAATATACTAGTTCCATTAGGTTTTCAAAATACAGAGGAATTGCAAGGGAAATATTATAGCTTAATTCTTAATTATTTCCTGTTGCCTAGATTCTGATAGGAGTTCAATCACCCAACATTCACTACATTAAACTATATAACTATTTATGTAGTTCATAACTTATTCATTTGAAAAATATCAAATTTGACACTTATGTTCAGCTTTTGCTGTTTGCAGCCTCAGGTAGAAGTTATCCAATCGATTTTTTTCAATTTAGAAGAAGGGAGTCTAACTGTTATTGGGGATGTTCAACCTGCGGAAAATTTTCATAGAACATGGATGATTGAGGATGTATATATTATAAATGTGAATGATACATTTGAGCCTATAAAAAAATATATGAAACCAGTGTTAGTCCAGCATTCAAATTTTTAGAAGAAGAAAAAGATTTTCAACAAGATAGAAAAACCTGTTCGGTGATGTAAGGAATAAGGATGAAGTGGATTGTAGCTAGCTGCACATGATTCTGGATGCAAATGGGAGGTGAGTGGGACTGCATCGAAGTTCCAATTTCATTGCGTGCTTTGTCCTATGAAATTCCAACTATAAATAGTTATTGATTTGATTGATATGAATTGGATTCATTAAACTGACCTAAAACCAGAAACTAGATATGGAATTAATCCGTTTCCAAAAAAAATGACATGTAATTAATCTGGTTCAAATTTAGTTTTTGGTTTTCAGGCTTCAAACTGGACTAGGATACTTGTAGAGTGTTTAATTTTTATTTGACCTATCACAAAAAAATAATTTATTTTTGAGCATGTCCACCATGGCTCATCGGGATGTACCTGGTTCTTCTTCTCATTACTGAATTAAGGATGCAATCAGATTGCATATACATTTACAATGTACACCTTGGTTCCTCATTTTTAGTGGTTTGCTAAAGTATTTTTATTCATTGAACTATAACTGAAACACTTAAGTTCTTAAAAAGTTAAAATGGCAACCTATGAACCTTCTTATTTGCTTTAATCTTTTGTTCCAGGTTCAAAACCAACTATCGCAAATTGTGTTGAAATAATTGACTCTAAACTACATTTGAAACTAGCTACTACTGGACCCACGAGCTAAAGGTAGTAAGTGGACTCTCGAAAAATAAGGAATCATGTCGTTTATTGAGAAAAGGAGAGGTCGGATACTTCTTATGTGCATCTTTAAGCTTACTTTCCACTTTACAACATTCTATTTCAATTAGCCTTCTCACATTTTACGTATTTCTCTCTATTAGGGTTCAAATTCAGTTGAAGGTCCACCACTTGATATGCAAATGCTCCAGATGGGATGAGATCAGAGGTAAGCCAAAGAAGTTAAGTAGTGTTTGGTACTTATGAAGTGAGAATTACAGCGATTATCTTAATAGTTAAAAAATGCTATACATCAATATAAGCAGGAAATTTGTGAGTCCTGAATCCTGATAATCTTAACGTGTTCCTGACCAATTGGGCATTTATGTACTAGCCAAAAACATGAAAATGGAAATGTGGCAGTGAAGATAGCAACCATTTATGAAGCTTCCAAACTTATCAAATGAGAAATTGTAATATTAACTTCCCTCATGTTCAGGGCAGGAGCTATCAATCATAACTCTCTGTTTTTTCCACATCCACCATGATGGTTGAGTGATGCTTGCATATGTTGAAGGTAGAGGAGGTATAACTGGTACGATTATTGGCTCTAACGCCCTGATAATTGGCCCATTGGCATGTCCTTGTGTTCAAATCTTTCTACTACCACCATGTTTTCAATGGTTGAGTGGTGCTTGATATGGAGCTAGACAGATGCCCAACCAATATGAACTTGATTTCTTTTTCACATTCATGTTCCTGAAAAATGCCTGATAATTGGCCCATTGGCATCCTTTTGTTCAAAATGCCTTGCAATAATGATAATTAGCCCATTGGCATTCTTGTTATTCTGCTTTACTGTTGCTCTTTGGTTCCAACAATTCACTGTTTTTCATAATCAGTATCTGGCAATTTTTATGTGGTCGGAAGCAGCTGCAAGGCTAGGTATGGAATGATGCTCATAAGCACCAAAAATGCAAAGACTACCAGGTGCTTGAATTAGTAAGTTAAAATTTAATATTCACAACAACTTTTTCTCTATTCAACCGTGTGCTGAGTTTAAATGTAATATTCCATTTCAGTTGTTTAAAATACAAATAAGATTCATACTATAGGTTTTTCTGCCTAATTAAATGGATTTTGAAACTTTACGTAAGACCTAGAGCTTCATGTGTGCTTGTGTTTCTGTTTTACTTATGTACACATAAGCTTTAAAGCTTCATAATATTAGATAAACAATTCAATCTTGCTAAAAAGATGAGAGCTTGTCATAATGTGATTGTGATATATATATATATATATATATATATATATATATATAATATATATAAGAAAAATGTTAATTCGTTAGTTATCTTACTATTTGCACTTCGCTGAGCACATAAAAAGATGGCATATTGTGTTTACCAATTAATTTGAACGCTTTAATTTAGTCTTGTTAAGAACTGGAGCATGATTGTTGTTATTCATCAAATTTTGCATCACAAGGTACACCAGACACACATACATTACATGTACAATTATATGTTATAGATTTGTTATAAAGTGCACATGTCATTCTTACTGGTGACTCAAACAAGCTAGAGGCATAAACAAGGCTTGTATAATGTACATTACTTGTAATCAATATGAATTTGTTTCTTACAAGTTTATAATAATCAATTTTCAGGTTTTAGACAACATGAGAAGAGTATGTGACCTTAATAATGTCTAGTGATGATAGTGATTCCGCCACCACTCAGAGTAGGTTGTTATTTGAGTACATAGAACAAAATCAGCCTTGGGGCAGAGAACCTTTGACTGATAAGGTTAGCTTTTCTCCTACTTGAACTGGCATAACAGGAAGAGCTCCAAATTGCAAATGGCCAATGTGTATAAAAAAAATATAATAATAAAATAACATACCATCTTAAACTTATTACCTGACCAACTGCTAACGGGAACATATTTTGGAACATTCTAGGAATTGTGGGGGTGGCCCCAGGTATTTGATCTATTAAATCCAACAAAATCAAAGCTCTAGAAAAATTTGACAACTTTAAAAACTTCTCTATTTCCATCATAAAGATAATAAGCAACATTCACCACTCAACTAGATAAAAAAAAATCGGATAGTTTAAGTCTTGCATTCACCAAGAAATGGAAAAAGATTTTATTTTTATGCAGAATTTTTATAAAAACTACCAAAACAAGGAATTCCCAATTGAAGACGAACAAAACCCATCATACCATTTTGCACTGATTTTTCTTTACATGTCACCATGTTTCTTTATACAGGTATGGGTCGTATTGAATTGCTACAATGACAATTGGCAAAAGGTATTTTACTATTTCACTCTTTCATATTAACTTTTCTAATCAACATGTGTATTAAATTTTAATATTTTATACAGCTATGGGTTGTATTCAACCCTGGATTATTGGAAAAAGGTATTTTACTATATTTGTATTAAATTTTAATATTTTATAACATAGAATGATGATGCTTGAAGGCATTCTGAATACTAATGTGTTATGATGAAAACAGGTATCATGTGGATAAAAAAGCATAACAATAAGAAGTAGAAACAAGAAGGTGTTCCTTAACAGCAACGTAGTATTAGGTTATATAGTAAGGGAAAAGCTCTTAATAACAATGTACAATCGGATCCCCTTAATACCAATGTATTACAATTTTTTGACATGATGCAATGGATTCTATTTTTTTATATGATATTTTATCTTCTATTATAAAACATCTTATACAAATTTAATTTGAAAATAAGTAAATCTATAAATAATATTTTTTTAAACATTTAAAATTATGATACGCAAAAATGTGTGTCATCTTCATTTATGACATGGCCTTTCTTGATAGGGCTTTCTTGATACGCATTGCGTGTTATTAACACGCGCATCGTAAGGTTACGACACGCGAATGTGTGTCGTCTTCCTTTATGACAGGGCCTTCCTTGATACGCATTGCGTGTCGTAAACGCGCGTCGTAATTGTGCGTCATAAATGAGCGTCGTAAATGCGCGTCGTCTATAGACGACGCGCAAAAGTGCGTCGTCCCTCTTTATGACATGACCTTTCTTGACGCGCAT